CATAAATTACCTATCAAGAGAACAATCGTTATATCTAACGCTTTTACTAGTATTTAAACACGGCATTTATGACTGTTTTATCTAAATGACCATGACATTGCTTTTCCTTGTCATATTAAACCATTAGTCCAACGTGTTACACACGCCAACTATCGATAACAAATCTACAATGTGACACGTCATCCATGCGTGTTAACTCACATTAATCTATACCGTTCAATTAATCATGTAACTAATGTAAATTAAATTGGCTAAATTTCATCTTATATTTATACTTTTAGCAAACTCACTTCTTTTGCAGGAACTCTGGTTTAACGGGAAAATGTTCGTCGTAACAGGCACGTTGCTTCTTAAGCCAATTTCTAATGGCAAATATAAATACACGAGGGTTTCCAAACGGACAACCGTTCCCGAATGTTGTTAATATGACACACGCTAAATACATGCTAAATTGGTATGAAGCGCTATATACAAATTAAATATTGTTATTATTATTATTAACATTAATAATGGTTTCTTCGAAAATACAAAGAAAACATTAAGTACGGTATCTCACAAGTACATTTCAATGAAGTGAACATATATTAATCATGATACTTGTAACTGTTGAACATAAATGAAAGAGGTATAACTTTTGTTCATTCAATGATACAATGATTTCATATCGGAAACGCAGAATTTGTATTAAAATATAATTATATGTATACTGTATAATCTCTAAAAGTATCTGTCACCAGTAATGCTGGGACTTTTTAAATTGTTAACCTTAAGTTTTTACCATGCATGGTCATTACGTATTTTTTCTAACGAGCTCTTTTGATCATAAAATGTTTCAATTTGTAAATATTATGTGTAAACATGTGCACTATGTAAAAAATAATAGGTAAATTTTGTTCTTTCGTCAGGAACGGAAGAAATCCGTCTCAATCTAGATTTCCTATATCGTTCTAAAATCATGACATTTTAAACGATAAAGCAGTTTTATGGTGTAACGTATTTTCTAACCTTGGACACACGAGGCAATGGATGAAATATTAAAGAAGGCTTCTATAAATCCTGCTGTCTCCTTTAATGATAATAATAAGAAGTACGTTTATTAGAGTAGGGCCTACCATATAAGATATTTCAAAAAAGAATTATTGTTGATAACAAAATTATATTGATTTCTACTCAGATGAATAATATTTCCAATAATGTAAACGTATTAATTCTTTTTGTTATCCCGGTGCAACATGTAGATTAACATCCAAAGTAAATTAATAAAGTTGCAAATAAATGTATGTTACAGGGCAGGGGCGTACGCAGGATTTTTTTAAGGGGGGGGGGGGGGGGGTTTTGCTCCCGAAAATTTGAAAATCGCGCCGGCCGAAAAGTCGCTCAGTGGGGGGGGGGGGGGGGGGGGGGGGGGGGGGGTAAGCGGACACTTTTTTTTTTTTTGGGAGTCCAAAAAAATCGCAACGACTCAGCCAGCCGAAAAGTCGCTCAGTGGGGGGGGGGGGGCAAGCGCACACTTTTTTTTTTTTTTGGTCTCGAAATTTCAAAATTTGACATTTTTCTTCGTTGGGCGGGGGGGGGGGGGGTAAGGTCACCTTTTTTAGGTTAACCGTGGGTATAATTTTTTTTTTTTTTTTTTTTTTTTTTTTAATAATTAAAAAAAAAAAAAAAAAAAAAAAAAAAAACCAAAGGGGGGGGGGGGGGGGGTGGGGGTTTTTTTTTTTTTTTTTAGTTTTTTAGGGGGGTTTACACACATAAAAATACTAAAGGGGGGGTTTGAACCCCCCAAACCCCCCCCCCTGCGTACGCCCCTGTTACAGGGTTCCGACTACAAGCAGAATTATGCATCTAAGGGATTATAACCATAATATTGTATATTATTATCGTGAATTGTGTCATAAAGGTTGAATTAAAGCATAAAGCACACAATTTATTTGTTTTCTGTACTTATCACTATGGAGAAAGGAAAATAATATTTTGTTTAATGAATTGGGGAACACGTCATAGTACATACCTTATGCCCTGATCGAATGTGGTACAAGTAACCCCCCCCCCCCCGCCGAGGGGAGATGGTGCTCATTGTGTGCGTGACTTAATCACATGACCAAGGTAATAATAATCTGTAAAGTACTTGATAAACCGAAACATATTATTATTATCATTATACGAATTAGAACATGTAGTAGCAGCAGTAGGAGTAGGCGTTGTTGCGTGCGCCTGTAATCCAACTAACAGTGGAAGTTACAAACTTATTCAGCCGAGGACGCAGGTTCAAAACTGAGTCACGTCTTTCGGATGGTGACGTTAAAAGTAGGTCCCCAGACGTAAATAATCATATCTGATTGATACCCGTCTGTAAAAACCCAAATACACACACACACACACACACACACACACACATCACCATTATCATCACACTCACGCTTTCTTCTGTTTACCACCTGTTTACAAAATACAAAATGACCAACCATCAAATAAATGTGACCTCACTGCAACCCCCGCCCCCCTCCCCCACCTTCATAAAGAATGAGCTATTATTACTGCCAGGTTTGATGAGATTTTCAAAAATGGTTAAAGATCGGCATTCATCAGACAAACAACTCCATTCATTTATACTAAGATATACGAATGTCCTCTGATAATATTGAGTTTTACATTGAGGGGTACGTAGTAATAATATGTTAGTGCTTCGTGTTACACGTGTAGAAACATTGCCATTAAGAACACATTTACTACATAACTGGAATGGTGCTATCCCACTTACACATGTATACACCATGCATAACATTGACTTTTTAAACAGTTCTTTCAGAGTAGGCCAGGCCAAATTTCGAAAAACTGTTTCCGATGAAGATTCCCATGTATATCCACTTACAATATATAATGCTGGCTTGTGTAACGTGTGTACATGTAGTTTGATTCGGATGTAGATGACCAGACGGTTGAACAATGAACAATAGTGCATGGGGGAGAACAAATCCCCAGTATAATTTATTAAGTTGATCAACATGAAATATATACTTATCTCTTCTAATAAAGCCAATTTTTTGTTTCTTGACTTTTACAATAAAAGCAACGTGGGATTTCTATGTCGGAGTATCATCAATTGTCACACTCAGACAGTTATATTCAGATACACATTCTAATAAAGTAACATTAATTATAACATATATTTTTTTATTCTGCAAAGTATTCAATCGTTGTCGTGAACCAAAAAGCATCACTTTTGCCTCATTAAATGTCCACTTGTAAACTTCATTCATTGCAGAATTTAGTTGACTTTCAACCGATTCTAGAGTGCTCTACTAACATACAGAGTTGCATCGTCAGCAAACATGACAACTTTCCTGACTTGATACTAGAAACCAAATCATAAATATATATTGTAAACAACAGGGGCCCTAAAACCTAGCCTTATGGTAACCCAGAGATAGTTGACCTTCTAGGCTTGTATTAGATATTTACCCCTTATTTCTGTCAATTGATCCCTAAAGCAAAAGTAAGATTTAAACCATGCCAATGCATTCTCAGAGCATCCTATGGAAGTTTGTTAAAGGGCCACTCAAACCCAACTAACATAGCCTTTCAAAACATGAATAACATGATAACCATCCATTTTTTCACAGTTCTCACGCTCGAAAAAAGGTAATACGGTCACGTGGCCTTGATCACGCATTTGACGTCATTGCGGGCATGTCCGATTTGTCCTACAACTAAGGATCTTACACTAGGAATGACGAAATTGCCAGAAACTTTCTGGGATTATCAAGTGCATATTATTTTTCGGATAAAAGTTTTTTTCTTCTCCCAATTAATATCATAGTTTGCCTTTTTATAGACATTTTAATGCCTAAATCACCCTCCTATCCACCGGAGAAGCTCCTGCGGTGACGTCATATGCTATTGCGCAATACAGCTCCGAAACTGTTTTTTTTCTGAGCGTTCAAAGTCGTCATTTTTAAAGCTAGATTCCAGAATGATTCATGATTTCTAAGAAAAATCATTGTCATGTTCGAAATCTCCGTCAAAATTTATTCTACATGTCTTTTTTCATTTTTTTTTTTAGCCCGTTTTGGTTAGAGTGGCCCTTTAAGCAGTACATCATCGTTTACAGAATCAAAGGCTATACGCATATCAATACAAGCTACCCCACACGATTTACTCCTATCAACTTCAGTTGCCCAGTCCGGTAGACATATTACAATAATTACAGCACTGATAAACCAGGGAGATCTCCCTGGATAAACCAAACAGTACAATACACGTGCAAATTGATATGCATATTTTTGGCATGGATCTTTGGTTGGAAGGGAAAACAAACGATTAAGTGTGATTATCGTGAGAGCAAACTTATTGTTGGTGCTTTCAATCAGCTTGTATATTCAACTATATGGGATTTCACCGTTGAGGGCATTATCATGATTCAACGTTTGTACAATAGCGAGTTTTCTCGCAGAGACGAAAAGACATTCTACGACGCAGGAGCAGTCAGTGGGTTACGGCCGTCGCACGCAGACCGCCCTCGTTACAATATAATAAGCGGTTTCGCTTTTCGGTAAACGCGTCCGCGTCCGCCAATTGGCAATAGGCAATTTTCGTAGTGTAACCAAATTTAATGCATACGTCTTTGTGAAGTGCCCTAGATACAAACTATATCATTCACCTGATAAAAATAATTACAGTATATCAAGAGACAGAACCGAAACTGCATACTTTAGTTGTTGCCGGGTTTGACAAACAATAGGGACTTTTAGATTTGCGTGGACTGATACATGTGACGTCCATTCAAGGCAGTGCTTTAAAAGGACGTCGAGCGTAGCATAGACCTATTGTCTTCGTGCGAATCTAAAAGTCCCTAATGTCGTCACGTATACAGTCAGCTCTCAGCTGGAATAAAGTAACAATACACATGGTACTGTCTGGTGTTATTTCGTTCATTTGAGTTCTATCCAACTGATCAAACACAACAACACCAAGCAAGCCGAGTGCCAGAAGAAAATCTTGTAATGTTATGAGCTGAAGTTATGCAGCACTCCTAATTTGAATATAACTTACACCTGTATGTGCTCATTGTTAAACAGCCATGCATATTCATTCAGAAGCAACCATGCAGAAAGCACTCTTCAATACAGTACTCTTGGCACACAGAGTGTGTGATGTATTTAATGAGTAATTAGCCATGCACACATTCAACCCTCATACACTGCCTTATGTACTGGACATGTGGGAGTGGTAAGTTGCACTTGACCACTAGCATGCACAGCATAAGCATGATGTTTTAGTTACACCAATAAACTCCTGAACCTCAAGCAAAGATATGTGGAGTTTTATTACTTTCTTGACCCAGCTACATTTAGTAAAGTACTAACCAAGAAGTCAACATAACAAACCCACTATTTTTGACAAATCTCACCTTCATCCACGAGCTCCTTCCAATACTTTCCAATATTTCCTCGGGCCAGCAGCACCGCTTCTTAAATCAACATGCCAAACTACAAGTTGCTCTACTTCGACTTCCGTGGTCGCGCCGAGCCGGCGCGTATGATGTTCGCTCTCGCGGGTTGCGAATACGTGGACGATCGCTTTACACACGAGGAGTGGCTGGAGCGAAAGACCGACAAAGAAAGTGAGATTACACCACCTCTAAATTCTTTTGTATGAAATCGTCAGGAGATTTGATTTAGTGACATTATACAAATATACACTGTCTTGAGAGGTTCTGGTTAAAACTATGCGCAAGAGGGGACTCCAATAGTCATATTCGCTGAGTGGCGCAGCCCCGAAGCAGATGATACTCTCGGAGTCACCGAGGCCCATAGCTTTAACCAGTACCTCGAAAAGAAGTCATGGTATATTTGGTTTATATCCTGCATCAACAAATTATCATTGGTAATTTTTTTTTAATCAAATGAAGATTTGAAGACAAAAAAGAAGAAAAAAATGTCAACTCGCAAATAATACTCCAAAATAGACCTTTTACTCCCAAACAATAATTTTTCAGATCATCCTTAAAGAGTTGAAATATTTCTGGTCATGTGACGAGCTCTCGACCAATCAAAAGCCAATACATTTTTTTGCAAGATATAATGCACACCATTTTGAAAAAATACAAAAAGAAATGGCAAATATTTGTGTTGTAAAATTATCATCATAATGATAGTCACAAATAATGATGATGAGGACGAAGTGCTTTTTGACTTTGGCAATTTTCAAATCATATACTACCGTGACACAGGCTTACATTTCTTGTTCTCGTAAAAAAAACCTGGGTCCCATTTTACAAAACTTGTTATCAGTGACAAATGACAGGTTTTGTTATAAGCTACTGAAATCCTTGCTTCTGATTAGTTATCAGCAGATTTGTCACTGATTTTTGTCATTTGTCATTGAAAAAAGGATTTGTGAAACGGGTCCCAGATGTTGCCGAAGAAGGCCTGGGTTCATAAAGCCTCCTGGGAAATGATTTGTATTGTTTATATTGCCTTTACTCCCAAATCATGGAGACAGATTATATGATTACTTTAAAATACATTAGTATTTATGTTATATATTTTGCTGGAGTGACACTTACAATGTTCGTAATGGTCGTGTTCTCCTTTTTATCTGTTGTCGTTGTGAAACGCCCATATTGCAGTACTGAGTAATAATGTTCTTCATGTCGTTATGTCCTTTTACTTTTCAGCACCTTACCCTTCCTAACTCATCCTTTTCAGTTTTCACTTCTTTAACTACTCCCATGGCAGGTATTTGCAGCATCCTCAATAATCTGTACAAGTATAATCTTTTCATGAATAATTTCATACTTTTTAATGTGTACCGAATGTAATTTTCCATTTTCCTTTTTAGATGGCATGGAATTACATACTGAGTAACATTATTCCACCAATCTGTTATTGAACCAAGATTTGTTATATGATTATGTTACTGATAAAATGAATTCAAATTTTGCGGAATTTGATCTTGACTCTTCTGATCTTAATGATGAGGCATACTCCACTATGGCAAGCAATTACAACACAGAGAAACAAATAACTTCCTCAACACTTGGATGATTGTTTTTCCTTATGCAGTTTAAGTGCCTGATGGGTAGAAATAAATTAAATGTATTTGTTGCACGGCTTACAGAAACATGGTTTTCTGAGACGCCAAGTTAATATAACAGTATGCTCGACTATGATTTAATTGTCAATAATCCATCAAACAAAATGGGGGAGAAGTAGCTTCATATTCTTCACAGAGATTTGATTATGCTGAAAGATCTGATTTGAATTGTATGGATGAGTTTATTGAGTCTTTTTTCATTGAAATAAACATGCAGCAGAGCAGGAACGTGATTGTGGGCGTTATTTACAGACCCCCTCAATGTCATCAGAAAGGTTGTTTAATAGCCCTCCAAAAGTTATTACCGAATCCCACTTTGGGCAATAAACAATGCTTTATTATGGGAGATTTTAACATAAATCTCCTTGATTGTCACCTAAATGAATTCCCGCAAGATTGCTTTTTAGAAATCTTTTTATCAGGTTCATGTAAATTAAACCCGCTCAGTAAGCACCCAACACGAATAACTGACTGGTCTTTATCGACAATATTTTCACAAACACCCTACTCTTACCATAATCTGCCATTCTACTTTCTGATTTAACAGATCACTTTATATTTAAAGCGTAGTCGCCATGGACTTAATAACAATTCCGACCCACGTCCTAAACTTAAAAATCGTAGTCTAAATAATGACAACTTAAATAAGCTAAGAGATGGTCTCGGCATTGCAGACTGGTCAGACGTGTTTGCCGCCCAAGACGTGGATAATGCCTTCAATTCACTCATAAAATCAATGTGATCATTGCGTCCCAATAAAAGGAAAGAGCCCGAAATCGAAAGAAAATTCCCAAGTACTAAGTAGCCTTGAAGTGGTTAAAAAACTATGTCCAGGAAGCAAAAAAGGTGATTACGTATTGACTGTCACAAGGGTCAATTCTCGGACCATTATTATTTACAATTTATATTAATGATTTTCCCCGATTTTCAGGTAATTTATCTTTTATCCTTTTCGCAGATGACTCAAACTTATTATAAAGCAATTGAGACCCTAATGTATTGCTACTGACGTTAAATAAGTAATGAAACAAGTGACTAATTGGATCAAAGCGAACGAATTCTCATTGAACTTAGACGAAACTAATTACATACTTTTCAGTTACTCCATTACTGTTCTTCCAGGCGATATAATCTTGATGACTCTGTCAAATTAGCAGAAGTTTCATTTACAAAGTGTTTAGGTCTCTCAATCGACAACAGACACTGTCCTGGAAAATTCATACGGATACTGTGATAACAACAATCTCGAGAAATGTTGGTGTCATTAAGAAAATTAAATTTCATTTTCCCTCAAATAAATTGAAATGCTTTACTCACCACTTGTATTCCCTTATTTATACCATGAAATTCTTGCCTTGCGGAACTCCTCCAAAATTCAAATGAACAGAATTGTATTACTACAAAAAAAGGCCACACCGAATCATTAACTACATACTTTTCTACTACTGATAAACTTTTTTATGAAGCTAATATTCTGAAAATTTCGATCTTTTTCATCTAGGTCAATTTATGTATCAGCTGAATTCAAACGAAATCTGAAATATTCAATATCATGTTTTTCGAAAACCAACAACACCATACTTAAGACATAATTACGACAATCACCACAGTCTCATTCATATCAATAAAGAGAATGAGAACAGTGTAAACATTAAATTCTTTTCTCTATACTGGACCCAAGTTTTGTTATTCCCTCCATGAAACCTTGGCAAATAATCCCACTTATGGGGGTAGTCCTCGACAAATCATTTTTGATTTTTGACTACCCCTTCCACGTTTGCTGATTTTGTTCTTTTTAAAACCTACATTGCTCCAACTGGAGTCATTTTATATATAATGTACATGTTCTATTATTGTATTGTATGTATGTATTTTATTTTATGTATCTCCCTTTTTTTTTGCATTTGTGGAGAAATAAATTGAACTTGAACTTTGTGCTCAATTCAACGGTACCTGAAGAGACGTTTTTTGTAAACTTATCATGGTGCAAAATGATCTGTTGATGAACGTGTTAAATTACTTAAAAGTGTCATTTCAAAGGCATGTACGTACAGTAGCTTCTTCACTATTGGTGGATACAGAACTTGGCAATCAATGTATTCAGATGTATCTCTCATACAAAAGCATGCACATACCTTAAACAGGTTTCTCCCTTTGTAACGTTCAATAGGCTTCTCGTGATAATCCTCTTTGCTCTACGTGCTAATGCCCCTATTGTTATTACAGCTTACTACATTTTGAATAATCACAAGGGAATGTCTGATTTGTAAAGCTATGGTCACAAATCAGAGCAGCGACCGACCGATTAGTAGCCTGCCTGGTCACCGCTGGAATTTAGGCATCGCCCAACGATTTTGTTTTTGTTTGGAGAAGTCGAGCCCCAGCAATGCCTGGGCGGTGCCCTGTCGATTTCCCGTCGGTCGCCGGTCGATTTTAGGTCAAAACTGGGCGAAATCAGAGAGCTTCTCCGGGGGCCGTCCCGGTAGTGAGCGACCGATGACCCACCGATATCCGAGCGGTCTCCCACCGGCTAATTTTAAGGAAATTGCCCGGCAGCCGGCCGGTGATCGGCGGGGCGCCAAAATACGCTCGGTGCCCGGGCGTTCGCCGCCCGGACACCGACGTAATCGAGCGTTTAGGTCAAAAATCAAAGCCGCTATAGGTCAAAGGTTGCTGACCAAATTTGAACTCGCCGCCCAGTGACCGACTGATCTCCCAGCGGCGACCGGGCGGCGAACGCTCAGCAGCCTTTTACCTAGCGGCTTCGATTTTTGACCTAAATCGCTCGACGGCGAACGTTCGATTAGGTCGGTACCCGGACGGCGACCGCCCGGGCACCGAGCGTACTTTGGGCGGCGAGTGAAAGTGAGCAGGCGCCCGAATATTAACTCCGCGCTCAAAACTCGCCGCCCAGCCGCCGAGCAGGCTACTTTTAGGTGATGTGACCATAGCTTAAGGTCAGCCTAACCTTTCTATTGAATAGGATTGCTAATGGGTTCACTGGTTCAGGGGCGGCCGAGCGACTTCCAAAGTGGGGGGGGGGGCACCAAGAAAATAAGGGCACTTTCTGGAGAAAAAAAGGGCACCTACAAAGGGAAATCTCAAAGCGAAAATATACACATTTTTTGGTATTAGTATATACCCCTACATTGTGATAAAAATTATTAGGGATGATTTCAGTATTTGTTTCACTTTCTACACCATACAAGATATTGATTAAGCATCATGCTTTGCAGTTGGCTTTGATTGTGTAAAAAGTTGTCTGCGAGCGAGCGAGGTAAATTTTTAAGATGTGTGAGGTCGCAGTGCGAAAAATTACATCTTATAAAGAGGAAAAACCCAATCCTAATGGGGTTGTAAGCACATACTTATAACGGAAGACTGAAAAGACCTTTGATATGTAACATCATATCATCTATAGATGCGTGCGAGCTTTGGGGGAAGTTGCTCTTAGTCGCTTGAAATTAGCTAGGGCGCGTTTAATGATGAGAGAAAAGGGGGACACTTATTAGGAAAGAAAAGGAGCATGTGCAGGCACGTAGCCAGAGTTTGATGGTTTTTGTTTGTTTGGGGGGGGGCACATACACGTAATCGATCGAGGTCAAAAGAAGGGGTCTAAAAAAGTTCAACCGATCTGGGAATTTTTTTTGAGGGGCACGTGCACCCCCCCCCCCCCCAGTGGCTACGTGCCTGATCATGTGCCAAAGTACAAAGAGTAAATATCAGAGGTGAAAATGGGGCACTTCTTACACCCCAAAAGGAGGCACTCACCAGGGATGAAAAAAGTCAGTCATGAGAATAGGAAATGGGCATTGGTCGACGGAAACGGGGCTTCCATCAGATCTTGATAGCGGCATTTATAAGAGGTGAAAAGGGGCATTTATGAAAAGGGGATAGGTCCTTTATTAGAAAGGAAAAGGGGCACGTATCATTGTTAAAAGGGAAACTATCAGAGATGAAAAGAGGCACTTATCGCACTTGAAAAGGGGCAATGACCAGATATGAAAAGGGGCACTTATGTGATTGAAAAAGGGGCACTTGTAATAAAGGGAAATTAGTTGAAAGAAAATGGGGACCGATCAGATTTTTCGGAGGCGAAGGGGGCACTTTTCTGAAATGAAAAGGAGTAACTTCTCGTACTTGAAAAGGGTCATTTATCAGAGAAAAGGCACTTATGAGAAGGGGAAGGGGCTCTTTTTTAATGGGGCACTTTTCATTAGGAAAAGAGGCACTTATTAGAAAGGAAAAAGGGCACATGTGAAATATAGGTTGCGCTTATCCGAGTTAAAATGGAGGTAGTTATTAAAAGGGGAAGGGGCACTTTTTACAAAGCAAAAGGGGCACTTGTCAAAGTAAAAGAGGCACCTCTCAGATTTAAATAGAACAACTATCAGTGGTGAAGGGTGCTTTTATCAAAAGTGAAAAGAGGCACTATTCGTACCTAATTAGGGGCACTTACTAGAGATTAAAAAGGGCACTTATGAGAATGGAAAATGGACATTTATTGCAAAGGAAAATGTGAACTTGTCGAAGGAAAACGGGAACGTGTCCAAAAAAGGGGCACTAATTAGAGTTGAAAATGGGAAGGGGCACTTTTACAAATTAATAGGGGCACTTGTCAAAGTAAAAGGGGCACTATTCCTATGAAAAAAGGGGCACTTCTTAAAAAGTTAAAGGAGCACTTTTCCTATTTAAAAAGGGGCACTTTTCGGATGCTTGAAAAAGTGGGGGCACTGTGCCCCCCCCCCTGCCCCCGGGAGGGCCGCCTCTGCACTGGTTTACGTGTTTAATACAGAGTACAGCCTTTTCACACAGGGGTCAAATTCATCTAATGCTGTTTAGTTTAAAGGTATAAACCAGTTATGGTCATGCGATTGCATTGTGAAAGAAACGTTGCGGAATCGATCAGAAATGGTTGATAATCTAGCATATAAGTATTGGTGTGTACTGCAAGGTTCTGAAATCATCAAAATGATCTTGAAAAAGACGATTTGGAAATAATGTGGTTTGAATTGAGGGCTAGAAATCGATTACCATTTTTGTAGGTGTCGTATATCGCAAACCTACATGTATATCCTTTTTTAAAAGCCTAGAATCAAACCTAGACCAAGTATTTTCTTTTACAAATAATGTTATAGTCCTCGGTGACTTTAACTCCAATATGCTGACTAAAAATACCCTTTCAAATAAGATGCATGAACTTTGTTCCACCTTTCAGTTAACTCAGCTTATCCGAGAACCAACAAGAATAACTCCTTTCAGCAGTACTTTAATTGACGTTATTTGTGTTTCTAGTTCAATGTTATCCAATATAAAGCAATCTGGAACAATTTCAAGTGGACTAAGTGACCACTCCCTAGTCTATTTGATCCTTGGACATAATACCCCAAAAGCTAAGCCCGAAATCTTTTCATTTAGATCGTTTAGGCATTTTGTCGTCGAAGATTTTGTCGAAGACACAATGGAATGATCTATTATCGTCCGAAGAGGACGTAGAGTATTGCTGGGAGAAATTCAGTGAAGCATTCAAGGCATTAGCTGATAAACATGCTCCCCATGTTACAGTAAGAAAGAAACTAAATGGGCCTCCTTGGATTACAACTGAATACCTGGCTCTATCTAGGGATCGTGACTATTATAAAAGAAAGTTTGACAAACTTAAAAAATCAGCAGAAGCAGGTCAGGAAATCAATGAACTTTGGAATAAATATAAATATCTCAGAAATAAAGTAAATATCTTAAATAAAAAGCTGAAAAGGGACTTTTTTCGCAACAAATTTCAACAATGTGCAAACAAATTGCAAGATTCGTGGAAAGTCCTGAAAAATTTACTCCCGAAGAAAAAGGTTTCAGTTAATCCGAATATTAACACAGGGACTCATATGACTTCAGATAAAGTAGAAATTGCAACGTTATTCAATGAATTGTTTGTTAGTATTGGAAAACGACATTCTCCTCTTAACCAACAAAGTTTTAATTCCTTGAATACATTATCAAAGGTTGGATCAACGTTTAAATTCCAAAGCATAGATTCGGAGTTTGTAAAAAGAGAACTTGAGAAAATTGATGTTAACAAAGCTGTTGGTCTGGATGACTTACATCCAAGATTATTGAAAATCGCTGCCCCTTTTATTGCTGAACCACTCTCAATGGTCTTTAACAAATCTCTAAGCTCAGGATGCTTCCCAAGTGATTTCAAAAGAGCCAAGATTATTCCAGTACCAAAAAGTAGTGAAACAAGTGACATTGGCAATTATAGGCCAATTTCTTTAATGTCCTGTCTGTCCAAGATACTTGAAAAGGCAGTCCATGCCCAGCTTTATGAGTATCTCCAAGAATACAAACTGCTATCTCAGCGCCAATCGGGTTTTCGCCCAAAGCATTCAACTGCAACTTGTCTAATTGAAATAACTGATTACTTGTTAAACAATATTGACTGTGGTTTGATAACAGGGGCGATATTCCTTGATCTCAAAAAGGCGTTTGATGTTATATCTCAAGAAATATTGTTATTAAAAATGCCATATTATGGTATTAATTCTGTTGAATTAGACTGGTTCTCTTCATACCTAACGAATAGGCAACAATGCGTCTCATTTCAAGGTGTCCAAAGCAATTTTCTACAGATTTACTCCGGTGTGCCCCAAGGGTCTATTTTGGGCCCCCTAATTTTTTGCTTATTTCTTAATGATATGTGTAACTTGAAATTTAGTAAACAAACCAAAATTGCTCTGTACGCTAATGACACGGCACTGTTTTGTAAAGGTAACAATTTAAAAAGCAGTCAGAAGAAACTACAAAAATATTATGATTTACTGCGAAAATGGTTTGAAATAAATAGTATGGAAATAAATGCAAAGAAAACTAAATTGATGGTCTTTGGAACGAAACATAAAACTAATAACCAAATTTTGAAAATCTGTCATGGACGAGACTATCTTGAGAATGCTACCGAGATCAAATATTTAGGCGTAACCCTTGACCAAAATCTAAGTTGGACACCACACATATTGAATGTGACTAATAAGATTAATCGGGCTATTGCATGCACTAGAAGGATTAAGAGTTATTTGAACCAAAGCCTACTAAAACATCTTTATTACTCCCTCATTCTTCCACATATAGATTACTGTTCAGTTGTTTGGGGCAAGTGCAAAAAGAAAGATTTACTCAAATTACAGAGGACGCAGAACAGGTATGCAAGCTTAGTCCTTAATGCAGACTATCTAACCCCAAAAGACATCCTTTTAAGCACTCTTCAATGGCAAAGTGTTGAAAATAGAATCAACTACCACTACTACATTTTCGTCTACAAAATGCTCAATAATCTAGCCCCTTATTATTTAGAACCTTTTGCTTGCAAACGTCCAGTTTACTATGTTACTCGTCATTCTACCTTGAATCCCTTATTTATCCCAAAACCTAAGACTGAATTTAAAAAACGATCTTTTTCTTTCATCGCTCCAAGCATCTATAACAATCTACCGACTCATATTCGCACGGCAACTTCACTCCAAATGTTCAAAAAACAAATTAAATCACTCCCTCCACTTTAATGCATGCACTGGTACCTAATGTTATATTATGACTTATTACAGTTAGTTTTGTTTGTTTTGTTTGTTTGTAGTTGTGTAGTCTGTAGTAGTTTTATTTCTTACCTTTTACCCTTTTGATTTTATGTCTGTTATTTATTTATGACATGTGTATTTGTATTTGTATTTTGTATTGTATCAGTAATATCTTAATGTTTAATAGTTCAGGCCTTATGTTAATTTTGATCTAGTTTTTAAGTTGTTTTAGCTCTCTTATGGTATCTTGTTTATATAATGTCTTTGTTTTTTTTACAATGTATTCTATTTTTTGTAAATCTTTGTATGTACAGGGCTCTTTTGTAAAGCAGGCCTCTGGCACTGAAAAGACTACCCTGTTTTTAAATAAAACTGAATAAATAAATAAATAAATAAGAAATTTGGCCCAATCTTGGTAAAGTTACGAGCACTGCACACAGAAAGATATATATGGAACTACACGCCACTTTCGAGGTATCTATCCGGTCCAGATAGGCGGTTTCCCGGCAAAATTTGTATCATCACGTATTAGTCAAAACATATTCTTTCACATGATTGGTAATAAGAGCTTCCATTTCATTTTTTGAGAGGGGGGGGGGGGCGTTTCCAAAACTGGTCTTTATCTTTAACATTGTTATTTACCACATGCGACAAAAGATCTATCTTTTTTAATTTGTGTATTCCACTTGTTCTGTTATATTTTGTTCTCTCTTTCCAGTGTTTCCTATCGGGCAAGCTCCGGTTCTATTAGTCGATGACAAGGTGATACCGCAGAGTGGCGCGATTTCTAGATATCTCGCCAGAGAATTAGGTAGGTACATTGGATGGTCTTGATTGTGATACAAGAATATATTGCTATGACAATATTAGACGAGTCAAAGACGAGTCCAATATTGTCTTAGCAAGAGCAAGATATTCTTGTATCATACGAAAACAAAGCCATACAATATATTATTATTATTATTATTATTATTATTATTATTATTATTATTATTATTATTATTATTATTATTATTATTATTATTATCTATATTAGTCTGACTAGTGAAATAACAAAATTTGAATTACCTTGGTAAATATGTTTTTTCCGTGAGATATCGATAGTTGAAGTTCCCGGATGACTGAGCAATACGAAAACAATATTGGTCAGTTATCCGGGTACTGCGCTAAAGATATTGAATACACTGATTTATTATACCACTTGGAAGCCTTATATAGATAATAAATCTAATTATCGTATTGAGAGAGATAGTTGTGACACGCGCACGTGTACGTACTCAAGATGGAGCACAAAATAGTTCCCCCCCCCCATACAATCTCTACGAGAGGGAACTATTTCAGCTCCCCATGAATTGAACCTCGAGTACGCACGCGTGCACGTGCCATAACTATCTCTTTCAATAAACTATGGGTAGGAAGTTCAAATGCCATGCCCACTCTCTGAATGTACAGAAGGAAAATCTAATTTGGGGAGGCATAATAGGGATCCACTCCAAAATAGAGGGATCAATTCTTTAAAGGAAACCTTACCTCAAGAAATAGTCACCGTTTTTCTAGGAGATTTAATGTATTCTTGCCCATTTATCTAAAAAATCCCCTACCAAAGTGCACGGAAGAGGCTTATAGTTGTAGCACACACCCACTTGCATTTTTTTGTTGGCACCATGAAGTTGTGTGATATAATGCAAGTTAACATTTAATATTTCTTCAATCTTAAGTATGTTGAATATTAATTTCAATCATTTGTATGCGCCTTGAGCATCTCTAGAGATGGATATGTTGTGCTTTATAAATATTGTTATTATTATTATTATTATCATCATTTATATATCTCTCGTACAACTTTGTAAATAATATTGTAAATAATATTGTAGATCAAAGAGCAGGAATACATCTCATTTTCAAAATACCTGCACTTGTTTTGGGGGATGAAGTTTCCTTTAATGCCATAATGTACTAGAAGCGCTGCCGCAGAATCTCCTCTAGCGCCATCTCAGGTCACCTGTAACAGTATGGTCCCGTATTACCTGCTTGTTCCCTAGCTGCGCTGTTGGTTTAGTATCGCTTAAAGAGTGGTTAAATCACTACACTGGAGGACATTACTATTGCGACTCCTTCATTATGATTGCCTACCCGTTCCTCTACCTGTTACCTACGGGACTGAGTTGTCTCTTATTAAACTCTATGGGAATGAGTTAATCCAGGAGTTAAAGGATTATACGAAATTTGTCACTATAAAATTATGTCATACTTTTCGATATTTTTGTTATGTTAGATTTCTACGGAGCAAACAGTTTAGAAGGAGCTCAAATTGAAATCATCCTCGAAACTATGGGCGACATTGAAAAGCAGTTGATGCCTCTATACGTCAACCAAGACGAAGCTAAGAAGGTACTAGGGACTTTTAGATTTGGAAGACGAGAACGTGGACTGCCCTTTTAAGGCAATGTGACGTCACTGCCAGTGCCTTAAAAGGACGTCACATTGCCTTAAAAGGATGCCACACGTCGCAGTCCACGTTCTCGTCGTGCAAATCTAAAAGTCCCTAATTATACATTACGTCACCGGACTGTGGACCTCATGGTTCGCGGTTCGAGTCTATAGACACGGCACTATTGTCTTTCGGCTAGACACTAATGCTGCTCTCCGCCGAGGTATCAAATGAGTACCCCGTAGGATGCAAAAGTCAATGTGGTTGTGTGCGCTTGTAAAATAATCCCCAGGAAGAAGAAGAAGAAGAAAATGATGAAGAAGAAGACAAAATTGAAGAAGGAGAAGCAGAATAGGAGGAGGAAGAAGAGGAAGAAGAAGGAGTAGTAGAGGAAGAACAAGAAGGAGATCGAAGAAGAAGGAGAAACAGGAGAAGGAGGAGAAGAAGAACCCGAGGAGAAGAAGAATTAGAAACCGAGGTGAAAAAGAAGAGAAGAGGCCGGAGGAGGAGGTGGAAGAAAAAGAAAAAGCCTAGCGGACGCACGCCATTTACGCATATTCAAACTCCGCTCCTACTCTGTGTTATAATTCCTTTTGCGAAAATCGACCTAACATGGAGCTTAAACCCAGCGTCAGGTCTTGATATCATTAGAATATATATCTTTCGTTACTTTTTCATTTCCAGGTTGAGATGACGAAGGCATTTATTGAGACATCGAAGCCCTACTTCTCTTATCTTGAACAACTCATCAAGGAGGCAGGGGGAAAACACTTTGTAGGAAACAAGGTAATGTTTGCAACAGCATTTCAGATTATCTTTCGATCGCATGAATCTTATCTGGGTTGTTCGACATATGCTTGCATGGTTAATTGTTCACACTAATCTATTGCTTAACGGAAGCACTGTATCAAACACTATACCTGACCCTAACCCTAAACCTAACCTAACCTTAAACCAAAACTTAACCCCTAGCCTAAACCTAAACTAGCCCCAGACTCAATTGTAACCCTAACCCTGTATCTTTTACAAAATAAAACCTGGAGCAAAAGTTGCAGAAGCATGTGTCGGATCACTGATATTCAAGATCATTATACTGACGTATAGCAATGAATTGTTACCTTCTCATCTCCATTGCACGACAGGTTTCACTAGCCGATATTCATATCTTCAATATGCTTGACATGATGACCAACAGCAAGTACAAGATAGAGGGCCTTCTGGATTCCTACCCTCAACTGAGAGCCTTCTGCAAATCCTTCCGGGACGAAGGTCCTCTCAAGTCTTACCTGGAATCTCGGCCCGTCGCAGAAATTTAAATAAATTCAAAAGGTTCAAATAAATTCAAAAGGCTCGTTCAGATATGACGCCGAACTCCCCCCCCCCTCCCCCCCCCTCCCCCACCCCCCTCCCCCACCCCCTCCTCAAACACTGCGGTTTTTGTTTACGTGTAAATCAATGGAACTGAGCGCAACAAAGGTTCTACGGGTATTTACTTAGCTCTATGTTTTAAGATAGACCTATACCCTTTCCTAACTGGCCTGATTTTCATCGGATGCATCCGGACGCATCCGATGAAACGGCCAGTATGAAAGCAACAGAGGAGAAAAAGGCGATTAAATATATGTAAAAAAATGTGAAGTTTGCTACACGTCATTAAAAACAAAATACCGCCGCGGTATACTGATCCATATATATGGACAAGGCTTCGTAACATTCGTCGTCAAGTTGACTACTATGGAGGAAAGTCAGAGAATATTATAGAAAAAGGCTAAACGAATTGACAATTGAATGTCCATATTTTCATTTCATTTCCATAGAGGATAATTGTTCATCTTTACATTTACAATCTTGCTTTACAGTGATTTCACAGGAATAACATATAATTTACAATTATTTATACTTAATTAAAAACAATTGAATTGTAAACACATACTTCATGTTTGTCTGAATTTTGTTCAACCTCGTTTCTGATTGAGTCTCAAGGCCCTGTTTTAGTATATCGCTATGAAGGTTCTACGGATATTCACTTAGCTCTGTGTTTTAAGATATATATCTTTTTAGTATATCGCTGTTAAGTTGGCGACACTACTTCATGTGTTTGTGAATCCTGGGAGCTACCTAGATTATTAAAAGGCATACCAGCGTTGGAAATAAACACAATATACATGTCTGTTTGGTAAAATGCATTATAACAGAATTTCCCCCAATAAGCTTCCCCGCTTCCTGTTTTCTCAATATTGGATCATTTCTGTCAGAACTTAATGTTCTATTCTGCTATACACGGCCACTTTAAAAGCAGTGTATTTCATTGACTTCGGTACCATTGCTGTAATATATTTTAATAAGCGAGTTCATAATTAGTCACTGGAGTCTTATGACGTCAACGTGTCATAGGTCAAATGAACATATCTCCAAAACTTACTCGCCCGTTCACTCGTACGCTCTGCGTAGTGTACATAGACCTACGTAAAAATGTGTGCGTACCGTACGTTCGTCCTTCACTGTTTAGTGAATGTTTTACCGACTGTCAGCAGTGCTTTTTATCCTTTTATTTATCAAAAATTCCTACAAGAGTTGTTGAAATGGATTGAGGAGGATCCTCCGATAGATGATATGCGTTTGTGGACCGTCAATCAGGGGCGTATCCAACCGGCGGCAGAGGAGGGGGCCAAAAAGGGGGCCTAATTCATGGGGAAATAGTTAGCGGCCGGTGAATTAGCGGGAAGGGGGGGGGGGGGGGTAGTGAGCAACACCTTTTCCCCCTTGCAACGTCCCCCCCCCCCCTTTGAGGCCCAGGGGGAGGGGGCCCGTCACCAAATAAAGGTAAAATTAACGTGTTTTACCTGTTTTTTCCCCCTCCCTAGATCCGCCACTGCGTCAACTCATCAAATTTCTCGTAGAGGGGGACTCGGATCACGAGGAGAATATTCCTCGTTGTGTAAGTCCCCTCCTATGGTAAATTTGATGAACTTGACACGCTCAAGGGACTCGCACCGCGAGGAATATATGGACAGCTTTTTATAGTGCTTTTAGTCAGATTCTCTTGATTTGAGTGATAAACTATAACAGCAAACATTAATTTAACATCTCTAGATAACTGTCTGAAAGTGGCAGAGTGGTCTTGAAGAGGAGCAAATGAGGGGTAGATGAATATCAACGGGTTAATTGCCGTCTCATACTAATTTTGAAGGAGGGGTTGACTCGGATAATGAGGAGTATATTACTTGCGGTGTAAGTCCCCTTTTTGGTGAAATTTGATTATCTTAACACGCAAGGGGGACTCGCACCACGAAGAATATACAGACAGTTTTAGAGTGTTTTTCTTAATACGCGTACTAGATAAATTGGCTTGACTAAATAAAGCAATGATATCAAAGTAATATTTCGCCTTTTCTTCAATAACCAAATAATTACTCAATCAGAGGCGGCGGATCGACTTCCAAATTGGGGGGGGGGGGCACTACCATAAAGGGCACTTTCTGGAGAAAGGGCGCCTTCAAAGGGATATACACCCCTATATTGTAATTACATTATCAGGGATGATTTCAATATCTGTTTCTCTTTATACATTATTTAAGATATTGCTTAAGCATCATACTTTGCATATGGGTGTGATGGTCTGAAAACTCATTTGCGAGCAAGCAAATTTTGTAGGATTTATGAGGTCGCAGTGCGAAAAATTACATCTTCTAAAGAGGAAAAACCCAATCCTGATGGGGTTATAAGCACAATGTCATTCTCATAACGGAAGACTGAAAAGACCTTTGATAAGTAACTTACTTATAACATAAGTAACTACGAGTATGTAGCGAGCGAGCGAGCTCAGGCGCGTAGCCAGGGGGGTGATGGGGGCGGTCGCCCCCCCCCCCAAAAAAAAAAAAAAAAAAAACGCCGGCCAAAAAAAAAAAGAGAGAGAAAGAGAAGAAAAGAAGTAAGAGGACGTAGGAAGAAAGATAGAAAGGAGTCGAGAACGGTACAAAGAATCGTCTTCTTTCTCTAATAATTTAATGAAACGTCAAAGCTTCCGTGCTTCGCGCGGAACGGGGGAAATTGAGTTCAAATTAAGGATTAATAGTCGAGAACGGAACGAAGAATCGTCTTCTTTCTCTAATAATTTAATAAAACGTCAAAGCTTCCGCGCTTCGAAAGAGGGGGACTGAATACAGATAAGGATTAAGGGTCGGGAAAGGTACAACGAATCCTCTTCTTTGTTTAATAATATGTCAAAGCTTTTGCGCTTCGCGCAGGAGGAGTGTGACTGAATTCAGACAAGGATTAAGAGTCGAGAACGGTACTTCGAGTCGTCTTCTTCCTCTAATAATTTAATGAAACTTCAAAGTTTCCGCGCTTTGCGCGGGAGGGGAGGAAACTGAATTCAGATAAGGATTAAGAGTCGAGAACAGTACATCGAATCGTCTTCTTTCTCTAAAAAAATAATGAAACGTCAAAACTTCCGCGCTTCGCGCGTGAGGGGGACTGAATACAGATAAGGATTAAGGGTCGAGAAAGGTACAACGAATCGTCTTCTTTGTCTAATAAAACGTCAAAGCTATCGCGCTATGCGCAGGAGGGGCGGACTGAATTCACACAAGGATTATGAGTCGAGAAAGGTACAACGAATCGTCTTCTTTCAAAGTTTCCGCTCTTCGCGCGGGAGGGGAAAAACTCCCCCCCCTCCCTGCACCCACCCCCTAGGGAGCGTGCTACGCGCGCTAAAGTGATTCGCACGCTTTGCGTGCTCACTACCGCCCCCCTAAAATGAAATCCTGGCTACGCGCTTGAGCGAGCTTTGGGGGAAATTGGTCTTAGTCGCTTGAAATTAGGGGCACGTTTAATAATGAGAAGAAAAGGGGACACTTATCGAAAGGGTTTAGACATTTATCAGAAAAGAAACGGAGCACGTGTCAATTAAAGACTAATTATCAGAGGTGAAGATGGGGCACTATTCTTACACCTAAAAAAAGAGGCACGCATAAAATCGCTCAATGCTCAAGTAGGGGCAAACAATAGCGTAAATCAATTTTGAATCTTGTCGAGGATTGTAACTTGAGTCAACGAAAATTAAGATGTTTTTTTCTCAAATGATATATAATATGCATTTTCCTATATTCGGGGGGGGGGTGGGATTATTTTACAGGAGGCTGATGAATTTTATGTATTAAGCAAAGCAAAGATCGAGATTTACATTTTGGGGGATAATTTTGATCCCTCTAAAACCGTTATTTATACACTATATCCTTGATTTAAGCGCGAGAATATGACATCCTGCGGCATCATAATTATGCGAGTGAAGCTACTGAGCTTCCGAATAGCTTTGCATTTTAAACCCTCACTTGTTTCTTTCTGATGCAATACACCCTTTCACTCTTTAAATTTGCGCGTAAACATTGCGTCATCAATGTTTTCAGATGCGCATGTATTGTTGTGTCACTGCCTGCGCTCACATCATATTTACATGGGCACCATTTTATAATTTTGGGTAATTTTCTCTCCTTTTCCTTCTCTCCAGTGCATGTTTGTGTCCCCCTCTTTTGCGTTTGTATGCCCTTTCTATAAGTGCTGTTTTGGGCTCATGCCCCGTCTACTCCCCCCCCCCCCCCACCTGAGATACACCACTGTAGTGTAGAATTGAGGACAGACCCCCTTTTTGAGTACCTACCGTTTATCCCGTAACCATGGTGTATTGTGTGCTTGATCAACCAATGGATGGCACTGATCACTAGACGAACGTCTTACAAAATCAATACATACAACGATTTTAATAGAGAAAGTCCTTCATGCATGACTGTCTTAGCTTTTGTGTAGTAGATCTTTTAGCCAAACTCGTGAGTGAGTATATTGCAGCAGTGATTTCATGGCTTCATCTACTCAACGCGCTGTTCATGTTTTTTATGTGCCAGTCGCGAGGGTACTATGGTTCTTATTGCCTGTATGTGGGCTGTATACGGTGTGATTGCTAAGTGCTTAATTACTACACGAATGTAACCGATTGATACTAACCTGAGGAATCGAATAACGTGTTTACGAGGCGACTGCCAACATCACATTGAGAACACCGTGTGTTTCCTGATAAGTTTTGCATCAAAGAACTACAGCTATATATGGTTTATGTCTGTTTGACTGTATCAACATCTCTAGGATTTCCTCGCTATTTGGATTGTCTGAACATTCTACATATGGATTTGTGGTTGTGTAATAATCAGTGAGCTTTATAACTTTTAAATACCCATCTCATACTATTCGGAAGAACGTATCTA